CAGAAAGCAAGTCACATCGCAGCAGAGTTTCTTTCGTGAGGTGTCGCGTTACTTCAGAAGTAGGAAAGGAGAACGGCTCGAAAATTACTCAGCCAAGAATCTCATCGCTTTTGTTACATTTGGATATTTTTTTTGTTACGAATTTTTTTCTATATCTACCTAGTAGCCAGCTGCCTCCCTTCGGTCGATAGCTTTGCGCTCCTTTCCTCTGTTTCAGTGCCTGCCGTGAAATCACGATCGACGTTCTTTCATTCCAAACACGAAGCAGATTTTGAACCGTACAACAGAGCTTACGAATCAGTCATTCAGTTTGTGTGAATGAGTGTACATTTTTTTGTGCGACGTAGAAGGAGAACCTAGTCAGCGATTTCACAGCGTAAGCGCAAGTGATCTTCACATGGTCTTCGTTGCTTGAGCGGTTGTTCAATTTTGTTTGCTTGTTAAATGGCGTTAAATCTGTGATTTATCTTTTAGTATTCATTTTTTACTACTCGCCGCTTGCCTGTATGTCTATAGTATTATATGTAACCATAAATACTGTATTTATTACTGTTCGAACTTTGTTGCTGCGAAAATGTGACCCGGCTTGCTAATTTTTATTTGTATTAGTGCGTCTTATCATGACCATTCGTTTGGAAACTACCTGAAGCGGACAGAAGTCACTTTGTGTAAACTTTAGCTAAGCTGAATTGATTGAACGTTTGTCACCGCTTGAATTTAAACATGCACGTAAAATATTTATTATTGTTATTACGAGGAAGTGTATGGTTTTGCATAAAAATTTCTTGAATATATCATTTTGAGCTGGTGCCGAGGTTATTTTGTTGACTACTTAATCCACTTCGGAAACAAAAACTAATCATGTACCTTCTAATCTAATCTTTGACCATCGTTCTGTTCCATGGAAGTCGGTGACATTTTGATTCTGTTATACCGATACCGTATTGTGATGAGGTAACAAAGATCGTCATACTAATTTGATGACTGAAATTGAATACTACAGCCTCTTTGCATTTCTACAGATCCACAGATGAAGGTTTCAAGGTTTAGGCGAGCACCAATATCACTGATATGTTTAATAAAATTCAATCCCTTACATACCTCCTTAGAACCTTAAATTATGTCATCACTGAAAATCTTCCGCAACGTCGTAAAAAACATGCGCTTGCGAGTGTTCTCTGTATACAACACAACGTCTGAACGGTGGAAAATCTCGCTATTTATAGTAGCGTAAGCTAGTGCATAATTCTCGATCTTTACAAATTTAAAACACTAAGATTAAAAGTTGGTTGACAAACGATAACATCATGGCCACAATATTCAAAAAAGAACATCCATTTAGGTTTGTGTTCTTTTCGTCACGAGTGTAACCCAATAGTAAAGGAGGCTCCGTTGAAAATCGACCGTCAGAATGAATCCACAAATGAATTTAAACGGTCGACTAACAACGGACACTTTAACCTCAGCAAGACGTTTTCGTAAGCACTACGTCCGGAGCTTTTATGACTTGCATCGTAGTAAATACCTCAGCGCTGGTTGGGTGGATGCCGATCAGGCGATTCAGGTCACGTTTTCGAGCTTTCATTGAGAGCGCCAAAGCAAACCCCTGCATTATCTCACCAGCGTTTGGACCTATCACATGCATACCCAATATCCGGTCCTTAAATGATGGTTCAGTGGCCAAGCACAAGACAATTCAGAAAAATCAAGGGTACTTACATCGTCGTCCTTGTGGCAAACGACCTTTGCATAGCAGTGGTCAGAGTCTTTCCGGTCAGCTATGCTGTACTCGACAGGAAAGAACAGCGAATGGTAGACCTAGAAGAAAGAAAACAGAATTCAGTCAAGGAGCAAAAATGGGGTAACAGGAAAACAAGAGCATAAGCGAATGAAACACAAGGAAAAGACAAGTCTCGAAGTGTTGCTTAATTAAACCATTTACGTTTTCGAAAATACATCAAAGCATACGAACTTTGACATGAAGCTTGGTCAACAATGCCTTCAAGTTGAGCATGCACGATGCCGAAGCCAACAATACAACGGGTTGCAATGGGTGATTAAATACCAATGAGACTTGGCCGAGATATCCTCCGGAAAGGCCTTGCAACAAGTCTGGTGAGATAACCCCAATGCATCATTTTGTTTGGCATATACGTCTAAACTGACTTTAGCACTGTTTAGCCTGTAAGATGATACGATGCTTAGAAGAGAATGAAGTTTTTCCATAATTTTATTCCCGTCATATAACACTACAAATCATGTGCGATCGAAGTTCGGTCAATAGTCCCATCAGCCAAATAAAACAATCGACGGATGCTGTAGATTAAATGGTGATGGTTAAATTATCGTAGTTAATCGACACTCCCAGGCAATGAAAATGATTCTTGATCAATAATTTAATCACTCTGACGAGTAACCTTATTGCGCCTACCGTGCAAAGTCTACGCAAAGGTGCTAGAAAGGAGGAGCTGCGGAATATCTGACTCCAAGATGCAAGAGCAGTATGGCTTCCGGCGCTGTCGAAGCACCTATGATCATATATATGCCTTTCCTGAAGTTGTTGAGAAATCGTGGGAATACGCCCATCCGGTGTGCGTGTTTTGTGGACCTAGAAAAAGCCTATGACCGAATCCCACGCAACAGTCAGTGGACATGCCTTCGTGCATACAGGATAGATGGCCAGCTGCTAAGGGCCATCCAATCACTGTATTCTGATAGCAGGTGCTGTGAGAGTTAATGGCGTTATGTCGAAACCATTCAGCGTTCGCACTGGTCTCTACCAATGCTGCGTCCTGTTCCCTCTCCTGCTTGTGTTGTACAGGGATATAATAGTCAGGAGCTGCCAAGGCGATGAGGGTAAGAGATATGAAAACGAGAATATTGGTGTCTGTAGATGACCTTGTTTTAGTGGCATCTTCTGAAACTGATCTACATTGCACTCCGGAAAGTTTCGCAGCCGAGAGCGACGTGTCGGTCATGCGTGTGAACGTATCTAAAAGGAAAACGATAGTGCTTTCTAGCTTTTTTGCCCGTTGCTCTCCTCACATAAACAGAGCAGCAGTAGAACACGTGAAGTTGAATTACGTGGGGGTCGTGTTACTGGTGCTCGAAAATTTGAGGAAGAGATCGACCGGCGAATTAAAGTACTCAGTGGTGTTCTGCATGAACTAGCCCGATCCACTGTGAGTAAAGCAGAGCTCAGTCTGAAAACTAAGCTCTCGGCATTCAAGTTGATCTTTATCCCCATGCTCACTTACGTTCATGAGTCAAGGACCATGAAAGAAAAGCTTCGAGTCAGGGTACAAACTGCTGAAATGGGCTTTCTGAGGCGAGTCGCTGGCCTTACGCGTCTCGACATTGTCCAAAATACAGTCATCTGGAGAGCTTGGGGTACAGCCTTTACTTCTTCAGATTGAGAAATCACAGCGGCGATGGTTTGGACATGTGTTGCGATTGTCTCCAGAAAGGAAGGCTAAGCAAATCCGACCGGCAAAAGGCCCAGGGGACGGCCAAGAATAACTTGA